CCGGTCCATTTCCCACTTGGAGCGGAGCGAGCAAGCAAGGCCTGGCCCCGCAGCTCAGGGCCCAGGAGGGCTAGCCTGGAGCTAGGAGGCTCCCCGACTCACTCTACGCTGTCCTCTTCGAAGGGAAGGCGGGGCCCTGAAGGCTCCTCTCGGGGAGCTCACACACTTAGCCCCTACCCAGCTGCCTCAGCCCCACTGCCCACTAGGGAAGGGCACTGGCTCTGCTGGGTGGTCGTGACAGCTCGCCGGTCCTCTCTGCATCTTAGCCCTCCTCTGGGACCAGGGACAGACTGAGCCCCCCACCCCCACCCCGTGTCACACGGAAGAGCAGGGACGACGATGACAGCGATGACAGCAGGGACTGCCCGCCAGAGGAGCCCAGGTGGCATGGTGGCTTACAAGTCGGGCTGCGAATTGCACAGTCAGCATTTGCACCCACCAGCCGCCCCTCGGGAGAAGGACGAGGCTTTCCACTTTCAGCCGCAGAAACCCAGGGGGCAGGTCTACTCTGTCAGCAATGACCCGGCGGGAGGGAGTTTGGTGTTTATGCACGAGGGATTGTGTCTGGCACTTTACATTCGAGCTTAGCACCCGTCTAAGGGAGGTACTGCCAGGGTTTCCATGTTAGAAATGCTAAGGAATCCACCCAAGGGCACTCGGGCAGCAGAGTGGTAGAAGCTGGGTTTGGCACTCCATTTGGCGCCACCACCTGTGCTCCTAAGGTCAGAGGCCCTCTGACCCGGCACCCCTGCACGTGCCACCTGGAATCCAATTCCACGGCCCAACCTAGACAGCAAGCTCACGGAGGGCCCGGACCGTCTTGGGGAAAGAGCACAGTAGAATCAGGACAAGGCTCTAAGGTTGGAGAAGATCCAGGTTCAAATCCCAGCTCTGCCTATTATGGGCTACCTGGCCCTGGGCATACAATGTCCCCTCTCCGAGCCACAGTTGTCTCATTTGTAAAATGGTGTTGACAACAGGTCCCACAGAGACGTCGCGAGGATTAGGCGGGGGGACGGTGGGCATAGAGTAATGCCAGGACCTGCTATCACATTATGATTATGAACAGTCTCCTCTAGTACGTGGCCACGGAAAAAATCATGTTCCCCGTGGAACCTTCTCAGCTGATGATGACGCCGCCCCGCAGGACGGGACTCGGGGCTCCACGGCTGCCCCAGGCCCCATACCTTGGTGAGATGAGCGTCGTACATGTCCGTGAGGAGCCTGCATCCCTGTCCCACGCCGAGCACTGCAAAGGTACAACCCCCGACCGCCTGATCTCACACCTGGTTCCCCAGGAAGATCCTCCACGCTCCCCATCCAACTACTGCCACCTCTGAAGCTGCTGAAAAAGCAGCAAGATGGGAGGGGACGGGCTCCCCTGGCCACAGGCCAAAATGCAGATTCCCCAGCCCCACCGCTCTGCACTGATGTGGACCACTCGTGAGGAGGGATGCAGGACCCTCGGCGAGCTCCCCAGGTGAACGCGGACACGCTCCAGAGCAGCCGCCGGCCCAGCCACACAGACCGACACTCAAACCTCCCTCCACGTCAGTGAGATGGGCCTGAAAATACTGCCTGTGGGTGTCGTGGAGACAAGAGGAGACGGGGC